TAGGCATTCCGGATCCTCAAAAATCCAACATATAATATATAATTAAGATTATAATCTCTGACTACTGTATATACAATTAATCATTAACATCCTTTAAATAAATAGTGCTATAACATTGATAATGATACTTGCGCTAATGTCAAGTATAATAGCTTTATTATGCCATTGTTGATTTGTATATGCTACATTAATATTAGACATTAAATTATCATTTGTTTTTTGCAAATAAAAATTTTTTTATATCCTGTATGTTATATGATTATAACATGAAATTATATATATATATATATATATATATATATACATATATGTATATATATAAAGTGCGTGAGTCCGAAATCCAAAATTAAAGGTACAGTAACAACAAATACACCCACGTTACTCCGTATTGCGCTGCTATGTATCCTCCCATACGTATATGTATGCGCGATATATCTATCTCGTCGAAGCGACAACGAGAGGTTTTGCACGATAACGTCCGGTGAGTGTGATTTTTCGGCGCGACAGGACTATTTTTATCCCGCGAACGATACTCACTGCTGTCAACGAGAGCGGGTCAAGGTTAATAAAAGGTGCTCCGCGATCACACGGCTCTTTGTCCCCTTGCGAAATCAACCGACCCGAATCCGATCGCGATTACGATATCACGATCCGTACACTATTTGTCCGCGTCGCTCGACGCGCAATTCGCGCTCGCGCGACACTGTACACTACGCAAATTACACGGCCACGAAGATTGACATTTCGCAGCGATATACGATAAGCGATATATCCTCGCACAGCTGCTGCAACAATGATACATCAAAATGGCTTGTGATGGCTCGCGAGGCCTGCGCGAGGCTCTCCGAAGACCAAAATTATGTAAGTACGAGAGGGGCGGTTGCGAATTGCAGAAACGCAATCATACCCTTTTAGGTTGCGTTCGAAAATATACTCGTCGGAATAGAGTAGCGTTTAATTGACCAATCAGAAGAAGATATTTCTTTGTCCTGACAAGAACAATCCGATGCTACTCTACTATTATCGAACGCAACCCCTAGGAAAGAATGCGGCCGAGCATTTCTCCCCTATTCCGATATTTTCTCGTAGCATGATTTTATTCAATCTTGCTGCGTTCATGGCTGTTTCCAATTGTTGACTCGTGTTGACTGTCTCTTCGTAGTCCGATACCGTTGTCGTAGAATTATAATCGTAATTCCTAATATGGCCAGCGAAAAAAAATCGGCGAAAGCATCGTCGAAAAAAGAGAAATCCGCCGAGGAGATACTGTCAGAGTTTCAAACGCTCCGAAATGAGCAGAGAATATTGGCGAATAAACTGTCCGAAATGGAAATGGAATTGAACGAGCACAAGTATGAGTCGATCTAACCTGTATACTTGCGGTTTTTCCTTTAACAATCAGACTCTTCTTGAATGCGGAGAAAGTTTAAGAAAGAAAAAAAAAAGAATTTCTCGCAAATTTTCAATTTTGCGAAATTCGAACAATCTCGAGACAGTCGATAGAATGTAATTTTTTTTTACCCTTATATTGTTATCTATTCGACTGATACAATTGATGTTTCAGAATTGTTATTGATACATTAAAAAATGTGGATCCCAAGAGGAAGTGCTATAGGATGATTGGTGGAGTTTTGTGCGAACGTACGGTGGAAGATGTCATGCCTGCTCTGGTGACAAATAAAGAACAGGTATAACTTGTCATATTATTTGCATTACAATAATATTAATATTTTTTGGATTCTTGGAAGTGGATTTTTATATGTATATATATATAATAATAAATTTAAATGTTTTCAGTTATTGAAAGTGATAGATGCTTTAAATGATCAGGTAACAAAGAAAGGAATTGAAATAAATGAGTATAAGGAGAAGCACAATATCAGAATCAGAGGGCAAGATGATTTGCAGCAACAAGAAGAGGATAACAACAACAAGGAAACCAAGAGAAAGGCGATTGTTGTGAATCCGATTGAGGTTTAAATGTAATAAATAATTATTTTTCGATATTTATATATTAAGACATTTCATATATGAAAAATCAAAGCCAACAATTCATATGTTTTCAGAGTTGTACACATTTTTAAACTATCTTCTGCGTTTATTTATTATATCATTTTGATAAACAGCTTCTATAAAATGCTTTATAAACTCATATTCTGTTGGATATTTGTTCTGTAAATGTTTGTAAAAAAAAAAGAAACAAATTACGATATTGTGTGTGACATTCTGCAAATACAAAAATTAGATATGTACAGTTTCATGTTGAAGTCTTTTGATTATTTTTATCTTTATATCAAAAGTGAGACAAGATTCATATGTTTTACTTTTCTCTATAAGACAAATATATATATTTATATATTATTTATTTTTTACGTATGCAAAAAAATTTCTTTATATGTAGATGTAGATAATCTTACAGAGATGTAAATAATAATTGGAGCAGTTAAAAAGGAAGAAAGATAATTTGATTACACGTCATTTTTTAACGTACATACTCATATATTTTGAAAAAGATTAAACAAATTCAAAATATAGAGTGAGAAGTCTCAGTTTCGCCATATTTACTCCCGTAAAATTGTCCAATTGAGATGTTTAAGACATCTCATAGGGAATTGCGATAGCACGTGCTATTGCATAAAAGGGACTTTGCGCAATCGTCGTGCACAGATGCGAATTTATTTTCTGCTAGAGATACTCGGGAGTCTTTATCACTCTTTATTAAGAACAAACAATTACAACATTTCGCGGATATCTTGCACGATGCGATCCATTTCCGACTGATCTGGATCGACTTCTGCGGGCACGCGATACGCGATCACTTTGCCCATTGGCGTAGTGCCCCGAAATTTCTGCTGGACGTGGTACGTCAAAAATTTACGATGGCGGCGATGTTGAAGGTTAGTGGACAGTGAATAAACAAATTACTACTAGAAAAGCATGGTAAATCCCTTTTATCTAATCGAAATAGAATTTCGACCGCGAAAATCGATGTTATTTTATCCTAGACTATGCAATAATAGACAATTACATCGCGAAATGCAGCCCCAATATTAAAATTTACTTGGCATTAAAGTTCAAAAAATATGCATTTTTGTTTATCTTATCATTTATTTTATTATTCTAATGAAACGATTGATCGAACTTATATTTAATCCGAACGTTACTTTTACACGATTATATTTTAATTTTTTTTTTTCCTTTTTCGACTAATCTTTATCAAGGTATTAAAATATCTCTCAGTGATTTGCTTTTCATTTGTTATTTTTATTTTTTCTTCAATGCATTTAATAAGAAATGGTATATTAATACTTAGGATAAAGTACAAGCCACATTTGAAGACAAATGGCCATATATGCGACCGATTATATTGAAATTACTTAAGCAAGAACCAGTAACGCAAGGAGAATGGCAGGATTTATTTTATTCTGTTCATGTATGCTTATGGGACGACAAAGGACCTCCCAAATTACGTGACGCCCTAAAAGATGATATAATGGATTTTATACAACAAGCTCAACAGGTGAGAGAAAGCAAAAAATAATTAGTTTATGCTAAAACTATTTTATGCTAAAGATTATTTTATGTTAAGGTTATACTTTTAGCGCACTTGCTTCATTTGTCTCACTAAAATAACAAAATATTACATATTATGACTTTGCGCAGAGAGTTTTAGCGCATCAAGAAGAACAAGCATTATTGAAAGCATATATAGCCGAGTGGAGAAAGTTTTTTACGCAATGTAACTATTTACCGACACCATTTAGGCAATTAGAAGCGTATCTTGCGGGGAAAACTAGTTCCAGCACACAAAAAAGGAATCAACCTGATGACATAGTTAGGAAGGTAAAGAATTTATGTAATATTTATATGTAATATATAATTTATTATATAAAAAATATATATTATATATATATACATTTTTAGATTTTACGTACTATTATATATTATATATTTTTATGTAATCTTGCTCCTTTATTATGCAGCTAATGTTGGATAGTTGGAATCAAAGTATATTCAATGACATAAAACAAAGACTTCAAGATGCGGCCATGAGATTAGTACGAGCTGAAAGAAATGGCGAAGCGTTTGATTCTCAACTTGTTATTGGTGTCAGAGAATCTTATGGTAATTGTTATAAAATATATATATATATATATATTATAAATATATTTATGTATATAGTAAGAAAAAAGAGTTTTTTTTAAATAATACATAACATTTTAATGTTTCAGTAAACTTGTGTTCAAATCCGACGGATAAGCTTCAAATATATAGGGAAAATTTTGAGGCCGCATACATACAAGCTACTGAAGCATTTTATTGGGTAAAAGCACCAGAATATTTATCTATGCATGGTGTAGAGAATTATATGCGTTACGCCGATTTGAAATTGAGAGAAGAGGAATTGCGTGCTCAAAAATACTTGGAGCCGAATACCGCGAGTATGCAACGGTTAACGGATTGTTGTGTAAAAGTGTTAGTCGCGACTTTTAAACCAGCCATACTCGCAGAGTGCCCGCGAATGATACAACATAATCAAACTGACAGTGAGTATTACTGCCTGCAATTTACAATTTTGTTGGTTTGCGATTGATTCTATAGTAATACATGCCACTTTTCTGATCAACGATTAGTTAGCAAGATATAATAATTGCAGAGCTTCGCCTTATGCTGAAATTAATGGATAGAGTGCCCGACGGCGTTAGTCCCATGTTGAGAAATTTAGAAGAACATATCGCGAGCGCGGGTCTTACGGACATGATGGCAGCCGTAGATGTCATTACTCAAGATTCTGAAAAATACGTGGAAAGACTGTTAGATCTTTTCCATAGATTTTCCACGCTCGTTAAAGAAGCGTTCGATGATGATCCACGGTTTCTTACAGCACGAGATAAAGCTTATAAGCTTGTTGTCAATGACGCCACGGTATTTAAATTAGAATTGCCTACTCGACAGGGTTCTGGAATCGGAGGTGCATCTGTATTAAATAATAGACCTATTACTAACAACAACGGATTAGCTGAATCAAAGTGTCCGGAACTCCTCGCGAATTTCTGTGATATGCTTCTTAGAAAAACGCCTCTTAGTAAGAAACTGACCACCGATGAAATTGAAAGTAAATTGAAGGATGTGGTCAGTAAATATATATACAATGAGATACAATTGTATTTGCATAAATTAGAAATTAAATCTTTTCGATGAAATTAATTTTATATTGCATTCTATTTTAGCTATTAGTTTTAAAATACGTTCAAAACAAGGATGTGTTTATGCGTTATCATAAAGCGCATTTAACTAGACGATTAATATTAGATACGACCACGGACTCGGAAAAAGAAGAAAATATGGTAGATATGCTTCGCGAAGTCGGTATGCCCGCGGACTTTGTTAATAAGTTAGCTCGTATGTTCCAAGATATTAAAGTATCACAGGATCTGAATCAACAATTTAAGGAACAATGTCGAGCTACCATTGCAGATAGTATAAATATTAAGGTAACTGTATATTTTTTTAATTTTCTTATATATAGGTATTATATATTAGTTTATAAAATTGGTATTAAACAGATAGAAAAGATGTATAAGCGACACATATGTATGCACAGATACTTTTAATTAAAAAAAATATATATATATATCTATCTCTCTACTTTTTATAGATTCTCAATGCAGGTGCATGGGCTAGAGGTAGTGAGCGTGTCACTGTGAGTTTGCCGCTTCAATTAGAAGATTATATTCCAGAGGTAGAAGAATTTTACAAAAAAAAGCATAGTGGAAGGAAGTTGCAATGGCATCACCATATGTCAAACGGCACGGTATTCTGCATACATTAATAAAATTCTGCTTTTATTCGAGCAATATTTCAAGACATTTTTATTTCTTAATGCATATCTCATGACATGTAAATGTTTCAGATAACGTTTGCAAATAAAGTTGGACGTTTTGATATAGATGTAACGACCTTTCAAATGGCAGTGTTGTTTGCCTGGAATCAACGACCCAACGAAAAGGTCACGTACGAGAATCTCCGATTGGCTACTGAGCTTCCAGATCCCGAACTTAGACGGACTCTATGGTCTTTGTGTGCCTTTCCGAAGTTAAAACGGCAACTTCTTTTGGTGGAACCGCATGCCGCTACTCCGAAGGATTTTGCGAACGATACAAGATTTTGGGTCAATCAAGAATTCGCTATTGTGTTCGTATCCATTTTTTTTATGTTAACAAGGAGTGCTACATAATGCTATATTATATTAATTATATTTTACTTAGTTTATCTTTATAAAATATATTAAATTTTATTGATTATATTCTGGAATTCAATCTTTGTATATGGGCAACAATGCAGATTTGTTCTCAAAATGATATAAATTTATATTATGTGTAATATAATTATTTATAACGTTAGAAAAAATGGCAAGATGCAGAAACGGGGAAAAATAAACTTGATAGGACGTCTCCAATTATCAACAGAACGTAGCAGGGAAGAGGACAACCAATCTATTGTACAACTCAGAATATTACGAGTACAGGTACATTGTACATCGTTTTTAAATGAAGCACGACATAATACATAGAAAAATATCGATTGACATTTATTTGCAGTTTAATCTGAGATTATATAAAATAATTTTTATCTTTTTACATGTGATCCTATAGGAAGCTATCATCAAGATTTTAAAAATGCGCAAGAAGATCACTAACGCGCAATTACAGACCGAACTAGTGGATATATTGAAAAATATGTTTTTACCGAGTAAGAAGATGATAAAGGAACAAATTGAATGGCTCATTGAACACAAGTATATTCGTAGGCACGATGATGACATTAATACATTTGTGTATATGGCATAACACGGGATTATATATACATACAAGATTGTTCGCGAGCTATGGTTAATATTATATTTTTATAAAAAAAATTTAGTTTTCTCATATGTGCGAGGATATACATTCGAGTCCGTCATGCGTGATTATGTTTTATCTGTTTTCTTGTAACACAGTATGAAAAGGAGGAAAGAGGGCGATATTTGACTAGATCTTAAAATAAGATACCGATAGGCAAGTTATATTGCCTGCATTTGCCGATTATTATACATGAATAAAGTGAAATGTGTAGCAAAACTGAAAAAATGTCGCAATAATAATAAGAAAGATGTACAATATTCGTATCATGATAAAATTAGCATTTATCGTTTATTTTTTTGGACACTGATCTGTATTAATATAACTAGAAAATATTGAATTAAATTAAAAGGAAAGAGAATTATTGGTAACGCGCGCTATCACTATTCCTACTATATTTATATTTTATTAAAAAAGTATTCTTAAAATATCTTTATATCTTTTTTTTTAATTTCTTTGTAATGCTAATTAAACTTGTTAAAAAAAAGAATTTTTGCTATAGTATTAATATGGAACAATTTAGCTAAAAACATAAATTAGACCCTTGCACAAATCTGGACAGTGCACACAAATATATATATTTTCATTGCATAAAATTCAATCATAAATGATAAAAATTCGCATATATACTTGAATAAATATATACATACTATAATGTTTTATATATGGATTTACTCATCACTAAGTATATATGGACTATGAAAGAATTGGTTCGGAATATTCTCTACGCAGCATAACATATTTTTGATTTATTATTTGAATTTATAATATGCGGACGGCGTTCAAAAATATTCATAATTCTCATTTTCAGGATATACATTAAAAGCCCGACGAATAATGTTATCCAATGGCCTACACAATACTTTAATGCATAAGCACCGTACCTCGCAACACTAAATTTTATTTTTTTTTAGCGATGATAGAAATATATGTATTTATATGATTTCTACATCTGGAACGTAGATGGTTCGAATCGTCGAAATAATCGTCAGAATAGTTACTTAAGCAAATAATAACGACGGTTATATGTATAAAGCTTTTATATAACTTCAATAAGAGTGAAAGACGAGTGTAATGGTATAAAATCTCAATGAATTAAACGACAGAATATTTCATAACTGTATACAATACGTTCTTATCGAATCTCATTGAATCTCTATATTTTACCTATTATTATTAATATGCAATGTAAATTCCACATGGCAAATGGCAACAAGTAGCGCTTACATCAGACTATATATATATATATATATATATGTATATCAGAATTTTAACGTAAAATAATTTGTATTTATATTTTCTTTTTTGATACAAATCATTTGTACATTATTTCCTCCGGTATATAATAATTATTCATGTATTATTTATTTAGATTTTCAATTATTCGGTAAAGAAAGATTGAACTTAAATTATACAGCAAAACGGTTTTACAACATTTTTCATCGCCAGGAGGATACAAACGATACTACACACTATATAAAAATAAGTGTGTTACTATAAAGTATTTATAAATATTCAACAATTATTTTTAGGTCACAAATCTTGCAATAACAGGAATTATATGTTTCACACACATACAGAACAGTATATATACATATACACAATCATCACTGCCGTTGTGTAAGTCAGTTTAACACTGATATAATCACATACGGTATCATACGATGTCTATCCTATTTATTTTTATTTTATAGTTATTTTTACTAACTTAATCCTTAAAGAGCAAAGTGATAACAATAGGTGATTTTGTAAACTTCATTGACAAGAGATCATAGATATAGATTTAGGATAGCATGTAATGTTCAAGCTAATGTGAGCTAGCTTCTCCTACAGGAAACACACAGAACAAAGAACCACACGATATTTTTAGAACGATACATTCGTATATACACACATATCACACATACATATTAATGTCGTATACTTCCACAGATTTTTTCTCGCATGCATGCGTTTGAATTGAAAATTCACAATTCAAAAAAATAATAATCTTGAAAGTATTTTCAAAAAAGAGAAAGAAAAAATATAATAAATAAATAATAAAATAGAGCCATTAAATCTAACACTCCAAATTTTTGATTCTGTGTGTCGATTGATTATTCTAACATTAGTATCTTTCATGAATTTACAACAATACTGTGTTTTACATTATGTGCTGTTTAAGAATAGAAATAACACACCGACAATAAGAGGTAGAATTGCAGAATTTCTGAATATATCTTTAACAATTTCCATCTTTGATTCATCGATTTTTAATTTTATCACGTCGGACGTAATTTTTCACGATATGTACGATATAATATCAATTATTGACATAATGATTAAGGAAATAACGTAGAAACAATTTATATAGGCCAAACTGTTGGAATTTCTTCAACTCATCGCGTATATATTATAAGAAATAAGAAATCTAAGCAATTCATAAATTTTCTCAATGTACAAACAAAATTTTAAACTCCATTTCTTGATCAATATATAACGATGGATATTTATAAATCACTGCTACCCATGGGAAGCTTGGTAAATATTATATACCAGACCTCATCGTTGTCTGCAAACTGTCAATCTTTTTACAATGCATCACTTTTTTCATCATTTGAATAGTAGCCACACAACCGGATGCGTGAATTATAGCCTTAATATAATAATACTTTTTAATTTAAAATCGCTCGCTAAATGTGCTTTTCTTTCAGCTCGAGCCTAGTTACTTTGTGGATTATAAGACCCTATTAATATATAATAAATCAAAAAACACGGGAAAAGGAAAAAATTAGTGTTCCGGGCATCGCGTGTGTTGAATGCGAGGCGCATTCTTTGCCGAATTCGCACTTTCACAAACGTGCACGACTATGCCCGGCTGTCCCGATCCTCCAGGATGTATCTCGTGAGTTCCACCTGCAATATTATTATTCATGTATAATTGAAAATTTTCGGATTTAGATATTAGTACATTATCTCTTTTATTTCTACCTAAAATATCAATATAAGATAAGTTCGAGATAATAAGCGATAATAGTAACCTGTGGATAAATTGGCTATAGCGGCTAATAGATCATGATTAACGAGCGGCTCTCCTTCCTCGCGTGGTTGCCAACCAACCGGCGGAGAAGCGGGAGGAGATATGAGGAACTGTTTGGTAAGAGCAGGTGGTTGGAGATGCTGATCTTCCATATCTAGAAAAATTGAGATTTTTAATAAATTTAATAATTACTTTCTCTTGTATCTTTTTGTATTATTGTGAAAATGCTTAATTCTATGATATGAAATTTCACACTAATTACAAACCTATAGGCGTCACTGGTTGTGCAAAATAACAATTAATATCAGTTTCCCCAAAATGTGTTTGATGCAAATGCAATCTTGCATTTGCTGCAGCATTGGGAGTATTGTAATTTACTCTCATTCTTCTGAAGGATCTAAAGTACTGAAACGTAGCATCTTCTCCGAATTCCTTGAAAAGATTTTCTATGTCTGGCTATAAAGATAGAATAATACCACAATGTAACAAAAAAGGTTTATCATTAATTAGTATCTCATGCAAGATCTTTATTACCTTTAAATCATCATTAATAAAAACTCGAGGATCAACGTTAGTAACAATTACAGAAGTTGGTAAGTCTTCATCATGAACCAACTCATCGATTGATCTGATATCTGTATCATGTCTTTCTCCTTCAAATTCGAACTCTAATTGTTCGTAATTTGGATGTAAATTTGGTAAACCATCCACTTCATTAATTATTATATTTTCAGAGTCTTCGAGCTCCTCCTCCTCTATTATACCTCTATTACTGCATCTTTTTTCCATTTTTTCCTGCTGGGTTTAAAAACAGATAGGAACTATTAGTGAGTAACTATAGAACTATTAGTGAATAACTATAGAACTATTAGCGAATAAAAATTTAAAAAATTAAGGATTTAGAAATGTGTATTCATCATCTAATATATGAAATGGAAGGAAATGTAAACATTGTAGGTAATATTCTTTCACACTTATATAAATGCAATGAATAAAAATGATGAAAACCAGGTTGTTTATATATATAAACATATAAACTAAATTATAATTGAAATATATTTTGCAGAAGAAAAATATTTGTGCTTTTTGAAACATGTTTTGAGATATACTTTCCCATTAACTAATAAAAGTGTAATGTGAGCATTAGATTCGCTTTATTGACGCAAGTGTCATTAGATCAAGTTCATTGTCACCAGAGCGCATAGCGAAGAAAATAACATGTAACATATACGATCCAATGTTATCGCAGGTGGCAATCGTATTAAAAGAGTCTCGACAAATAATAATAAAAGGTGCAGATCTGACTTTCTTACCTTCGAATCGATCTCTAAACGAAGAGGAGATCAAACACAATGAATGTTTTCAAAACGCTGCTTCGTCACAGGTATATTTTGTTACGTACGTAACGTCTACACCATCTTAACGAATTTAATCACGTAGGTGTCCGATATCAACATTTTCGAGATACATTCACTTCTACCTTGCTTTCGACGGCGTTTGCTATTTCATCGCTATTATTATAACGTAACCGCACATCATGATTGACTTTACAACAACAGGAACAACCTCGCGCGTCCTATCCGTATCGCGATCCGATCGAATGCCATGGTCGGAGAACAGATTAGGGTAGGTTAGATGTAGTACGGATAGGAGTGGTGGAGCTATATTGAAAATTAGTTGGGCACAAGTATATCCGATCCGAGCTTTTGTATCAGAACGCATATTAATTGATTATCGGAGAGAAAATTTGTCTAATTGCGATACAATTTTGAAGCAGCTGAATAAATTCTCTACTTGACGCAGTCACAATTAAAATTTATGATAATTTTTCAAAACATTTTAAAATTAATAAGCAGATGATATATATATGACTTGTGTTTTAGATACCCTAAATATTTTTTTATTTCATAACACAATGTTTTCATACTTTATATTTTTAATGTATACATTATGTATTAGATACATACAAGTAAGTAAATTATAGTTTTTGTACATATATATATAGGGTGCTAAAATTTCAAACGTAACAGGCCGAATATCTCGATAATAAATGATATATCGAAGTCCGCTTTTTTTTTAGATTGTATTGTTTCAAGGCGCACAAATTTTGATAAAAAGAATTTGACTTTGAATGGACGCATTAAAAAAAACCAGACTGATATTTCATTTAGTTATCGAGATATTCGGCCTGTTACATTTGAAATTTAGCACATTGTATATATATATATATATATCTGCGTGTGTGTGGAAAATGATTTTTAGACTGCAATTTAATGTGTACTTTATTATTTATATGATAGAGTATTATAGAATACATAGAAGTCTTCTTATATAATAATATATAGCATACCAAAATTTTTTACATAAATTATATAACAGTTTACAAAATTTCTTTATTATATATCATGTATATATACAATTTTTAAAAACCAATATAAAATACAGTAACTTGCAATTTTTTAATTTTGATAGACAATATTGGTTATACTTGTATAACTACTGAATATATCACAAATAATAATTACTAACAAAGATTGCTATAATTTAGCAATAACTAATGCTTTGCATTAGTTTAACATGTTTTTGAAATATTTTTGTATATATATCTCTCTTTATAATCAGAATTGAACATTCTGTTATATTTTTAAACCTATAGCTTATAAAAAATATGGAGAAAGGACCATGCTCGCACATTTTGGTCATAATGTATGTATAATGATAATATGCATTACATGCATATTATTAATTGCAAATTCTTTCTCGTTATTGCACTTATTAAAAATATAGTTTCACTAAAGCATTGACTAGTTCACATAGCAATTAAAATTAATATTAATGATAATTTTTTGCTTTTAGCAAGAAGTCACTTATACATACAATTACATAATTATAGAAGTCACTTGTACATATAATTATATACTCGATTATATTGCAACGAGAAAAGCAAATGACATATGGATTGCATCACATATGTTATTTCATGCTGGTATGAATATAAAAATTGCTCATTTGAAAATTTTAGACATATGCAGAATGAAGTAAATATATATACTAATACAATTTTTTTGTAGTAGTTTATATACTTATTGCAT